TCGAAGGTGTGTATCATCGATGGACACAAAAGAAGAAGAAGAAGAAGATGAAGAAAAAAAAAAAGGAAATAAAAAAGAAAGAAGAAAATCTTAGTATAGGCGGGAAAAAAAGGGATCACAAAAAATGAGGGATAAGGGGAGGAAAAATAATCCGATCGAATTGAGTGGGCGATCATCCTCCTTCTATTATTTACGATCGATTCAGAATGAATATGGGGCGGGGCGGGGCGAGGGGGAGGGGGTAAGAAAAGAAACCTAACGATCCAGAGAAAACAATTTACATTTTTCTTTCTTCCTTTCTTTTTTACTTTCTATCTTTTTCTTGCTTTTTTTTTTCTTCTTCTGTTGTACCAAATAATCGGCAAAAAAAAAAACAATCGAACAATATTTTAATAAGGCCCAATTAAATCGATCTAATTAACGGTAACGCGCGAAAACGCGTTTAAATAAATAATAATACATCGTGTAAAAAGAAAATTAATATATTAATATAAAATATAAATTATAAAAGAAATATATTAAATTTAAATATATATAAAATTAAAAAAAAAAAATATATATATATATATTATTTAAAATAATTTTTTTAGTTTTTTCTTTATTTGAGACGAATTGAAGAACAACTCGGCTGATATACAAAAATCACACAGACACACACACACACACACACACAGAATGTATTTTTTTAAACTGAAATTAGTTAAAAGAAAAGAAAAAAAACCATAAATATTAATACATACATATAAATATAAGGAACGCGTGTGTGTAAGTCGCCCAACTACTCTAGGTTGAAGTTGAATGGGTGATAGTGTGGTTGGGAGGAGGGCGGTGTGTTTTGGTGAGTAGTGGGGGTTGTTACGGGAGCGCGGGCTGGAGGGGGAGTAGGAAGAAGCGAAGCAGCAGTCAGTCGACCGAGCGACACGGACGCGAACGGTGGTTGGTCGGCGACTTTTATTTCATCTCGATTTCCGTCTATCTCTATCTCTCTCTCTCTCTCTCACACACACTCTCTTTCTCTCTCATACTATCACTCGCTCTCTCTGTTTTCTTTGATTCTACGTAAACATGCGTAGCATATATACGACGTACATATAAAATCAAACATATACATATATATGTATATGTGTATGTATATGTATATGTTGTTATAGATATATGAATAATTATTATAGGAGATAGAAAGAGAGAAAAGAGAAAGATAAAGAAGAAGAAGAATATTGACAGTTGTTAGGTGCTTTCGTAAAAAAAAAAAAAAAATAGAATAAAAATAATACAAAAAAAAAAGATAAAGAAGAAGAAGAATATTGACAGTTGTTAGGTGCTTTCGTAAAAAAAAAAAAAAAAATAGAATAAAAATAATACAGCAAGACAAAGAAAGATTATGCGAAGAAGAAAAGAAGAAGATTTTTTCTTGGATGAAGAAGACAACCTCTCTTCCCTCTTCTTCGAGACCATTTGGACCGTTATGTCCCTTCGATAATTTTCCCAGGTATGTTTTCCTTATTTCCTACCTGTCACATTTTTATCTTTATATTGCTAACAAATGTTTCTTTTCATTCGATTATTTTTTAATATATATTACAATTATTATATTAATGGTAATGTGGGTTAAAATATTACAACGAGTTATTTTTTATTGTTGTTGCATCATTCGAAAAATTATTATCATTCGAATATGTTTGTTATTTGTATTCTAATTAGGATTGCTTTACAAATATGATTATTAACAATTTCAGGAGTTTAAGTAATTGGAAAGCTTAGAATTTTCCAATGTAAAATATGCTTATGTTAGATATTATTATTATGTGCGCGTGTTTAAGAGAGAGAGAGAGAGAGAGAGAGAGAGACAGAAAGAGAAAGGAAGAAGAGGGAAAGCTGATGTGTCTTTTTCACCCTCTGACGTTTGTAGTTAATATAGACGTAGTAGTAGTAAGCATAAACGAAGCATGCTTTGGCCACGCGGTGGATTGACATTCCTCTTTCCTGTTATATCGATCGAAAATTTATATATTTTCTTCTAGATAAGTTTTTTCTATTATTGCGAAATCGTCTTTAATATCAATGTGTTTCTCTTATCATTTATTTTTCTTTTTCGAAATTGAATTATTAATAAGCCAGAGAAAGAGACTGGGAAGGGGGGATGGGGGTGGGAGGGGGCGGGGGGAAGGGAAAGAAAGAGAATTCCAATGTTTTACTTTTTTAATATTATTGATCATGCTAGGTTGAACGTCTCTCATTATGAATCGATTGATCTAACAATTTTTAACGTATTATTATATTATATTTGTTACTTTTCTTGATTTGTGTATATTTGTCTATTTCTCTCTCTCTCTCTCTCTCTCTCTCTCTCTCTCTCTCTCTCTCGTTTTCTCTCTTTCCCTGCATCGTATCTTCGATCCGGCTTATGTAGAAGTACTATTTAAAGAGCGTTGGAGAAATGCGATCAATACCAAGAGATTCCTAAATCAATGTTTTGTAAGTAAATTTTTTATGGTATAGACAAAAAAATTGATCTCTCGATATCCTCCAATCAATCGAACTGGGGGGACAGATTTTCAAATAATTTCTTTCCAAAATCTCTCTCTTATTTGATCGGTTCAGTCTCAATTGTTACGTTTAAAATTTAGAAGGAATTTATTTAAAAAAAAAAACCATTAATTTTAATCGATCTATACAAATAAAATGATGGTTTATATATTACGATAGTTGGAAAATCATTGAATGTAAATTATCGTCGTTTTTTACTTTTTTTTTTAATTTTTTTTTTTTACTTATCACGTCCAGTCCACTATTAACGTCATCGTTCATTATCGTTATTAATAATAATATTATTATTATTATTATTATTATTATTATTATTATTGTTATTACATGCAAGAGAGAATGAAACGAGTCGAATGATTGCTTTTGAAATATGCAACGGATTTTCCATTAATGTATACGATGAACATTATAAACGAGGGATGATTAATTTACGTTCTATTTTTCTTTTTCTATCTCTTTCTCTTTCTCTTTGTGTGATTCTTTTTGTCATCCTTAGTCGAAATAAATAAATAAATAAATGCAAGAGGAATATTTCATTTTTTTTACTTTTTTTTTTTTCTTCTCCCGTTGCATTAAAACGTGAGAACAATAACGTTAATAATAACATTGCCGAACGTAATGCACACGTGTATGCATGTTTGTTTGCTTGTTAGAGATAGACCCAAAATTTCTACCATATTTTTGTTATTTTTTTATGCGTATACACGGGTATGCATCTAAATCAGTGTTAATCAAAGCGTTGCTTTGAACGCACACACTCGCGTATAATAAAACATCTCGTATTAGTTCTCGATGTCAATGTTTTTTAAGGTTTTTATTTAAATATCAACACTCCTACATAATCTTTTCGTGTACCACTTTTTCGTCGTCGTTCATTATATTATTTTCGCATGTTTTTCTTTTTTTTTATTTACATTTAATGCTTATTACATTTTTAAATATTCTACATTTCTTTCTTTTTTTCTTTTTTTTTTTTTTTTTGGAAAAGAAACATATTTACATAACCGGTGATCTTTTTTTTTTTTAATTAAATTCGTTCCTCAATAGGCGCGTTATAATATTAGCTTGATATGTGTGTATGTATGCGTGGGCTTGTTTTTTAATTTTACGCATTTGAAAGAATATATATTATATATAAAATTAAATATTTATTTCGCGTATTTTTGTATAGATACAAAAATAGTAACGAAAATATCAGAACATAACTGCAATTCCTATCAAACAATAAATCTTTTATTTTACATTTTTAATACACGTATAATATGTATCCAAACATTTAATATATAAAATACCTTTTTTCGAACTGTGCGAAATGAAAAAGTACATGCGTATTTTGTAATTGTTTAACATACGTAAAAAGTAACACTTCGGTATTTTCATTGTAATTGTTTAACATACGTAAAAATTATTTTCAAAATACGATCAATCTATTGTCCAGCTTTATTTTTTTTTCTTTTCTTTTAATCTTCCTCTCCCTTTTTTTTTTTTTWTTTTCAATTTCATTTTGTTTTTCTATTCTCAGAGAAAATGTGTGAGGCTCTTTAAATGTTCATTTTATTTCTTAAATGATACCCCCTTCCACTCCCACACACATACAAATACCCATACACAATTCATCATCGTAGTAATACCTCGTTAAAGAGATCTTGGAACTTAATTTGCAATGCAAATAAAGCGTAGAGTTTGTTTTTCAAATTTACCGTGTGTGTTAGACTGGTCAAATATTTATTTTTTTTTCTCTCTCTCTCTCTCTCTTTTTCTTTTTCTTCTTTCCTTTTCTTCTTTCTATCCTGCTTTCTTTCACTTGCTTATTTCTCTTAGCGCGGGAATTTTCATTTACGCGAAACTAAAACGTTCACACGTGTGTAAACATCGATCGAAACTTTATGCATATATATACATATATATATATATATATGTGTATATGTATGTATGTACGTGTACGTTTGTGTTTTATATTTGTTTTTCTCTCCGCAAAAATTCACACGTTTTTATTGGTTCGCTTTCGTAAGATTCGAGAATTGAAAAGGTCTGAAATATAACTTGGTGGTTTAGTACGAACGAACTTTTTCTACAATACAACGAGGGTGAAAATACAACGCAACATAAAACAAAAAAAAGAAAGGGAAAAGTATGTCGCGCGGTTTACTCATACATTTGCCAAGAGATATAAGTATTTGCATATAATTGCAGTATACAGACACACATACACACACACACATACAAACATGTATATCGTTATAGTCTCGATATCTCGTAATTCACGTGCACCTTCCTAATCGCTTCGTCTTCCGGTTTATACACGGTGACCTCGACTTACCTATAAGAACCTTGGACCTTATTTCAATCACAAATATATCGAATAAAAACTTTGTCTATATTTTCTTTCCTTCTATACGAAATCGTTCATTTTACGATAAAATATATTTTTACGTAAAAGATTAAGCAACAAAAAACCTTGAAAATTCTTAAGTAATAGTTTAGTTCGAGTAGTATTTCCTATTATTATGACATGTGCAAATCTAAATGGTTAAAAAGTTGTTTAAAGAGAGAGAGAGAGAGAGAGAGAGAGAGAGAGAGAGAGAAAACAAGACTCGAGGAATGTTCTTCCCTTTTTTTCCTATTACTTTTATTTATTTTTTTTCTCTCTCTCTTCTTTTCTTTTTTCTATGTCAACGTTTTAAAAAAAAAAGAAAAAAGAAAAATAAAAAAAAAAGTAGAGGGATGTATCGACGAGTCACGCGCAGAAACTCGGTCGTTCGTTTTATCGCAACGTCGTAGTCGGGATAGTAGTACTTTTATTTGTGAGGTTACAAAAAAAAAAAATGTGTCGAGAGGGGAATAGTGGGTGGAAGTATACTAATCGATTTTCGCGTAAAACGATCGAGAAAAATTGTTAAACATTTATCTTTTTCCCAATTGTTTTATAAAATCTCTACAATATATATATATATAGA